TCAGTGACTCATCACTGATGAACAGGGTGGATTGATTTAAATCAAGCTGAATAATCCATTTTAATGCGCTTTTCCATTTGTACTTCAGTTATTTGCTAAAGAAAAGTGCATTCTCATTGGTTGATATAACCCTTAAAATAGGTTGATTTACAGCTAAATAGAGTCATTACATTAGCTTTGGCACATCTTTTTTGCTACCTACGAGGGTACCCTGTAACTACATATACATTTAAGCAATTATGTAGCTTAATATTTTCAGATTCTTATTACTTGTACATCTTTAGTATGTTAGAAAATGGTGAATGAGATATTGCTTATTTACTAGATAATTAACATTTTGCTGATTTGTGTCAAGCTGCATTAGGATGGTAACGGAATTGACTTAAACATGCACAACAGCATATGAAAATTATTTTGATTAAACAAAACAACCTTAAATGTTTGGGATACATAAACTTCTCTTATTAAAACTAAATGAGTTATTAATGGAACAGAGAGATTAACTATCAGTAAATTAAACTGATTATTTCATATCAGCCTGAGAAAATATGCATAAGTGAAAGTGACTGGAGATTATATTCCTACCTGCCTAAGTCTCTGGAAAATGAGAGCCTACACAACTTAGGAGACTTCTATCCTGCAAACTTTTAAAACTAGTAGATCTCGTTCCCTTCCTTGTTTATTATTCATGGACTGGAAAAGTTTTCCTGTTTTGTTTTTTTCCCAACTCTGAGTGAATTAGTCCAAATGAAGAAAATATTCTTTCTGTGCCTGCAGAAGATGCTACTGCTGTCAAAACTGGTTTAGCATGTCACAAACTCTGTTTCCAGGTGCTTAGCTAGTGACTTCCACCAATTCAGCGGTGTGACTTTCTTTAAAGTAACTATCACCAGCAAACAGGTACTGCTTGAATGGTTCACCTCCAGCACTGAAATTTATTATGGGTGACTAATAGATGGTCGTGTCATAGCTGCAGCGTCTTGTTCAGCAGTTAGGAATCCACCCTGGTACTTTGGGTTGAGAATATTGCCAAGAAAACGAGGTGGAGTAAGTACTTGATCCATCTGCTTCTTTACTGCCTGCAATGTAAAACTGTTATTGGGTATTTCTTTCTTCAGTGTCTCTTGATGTTCTTGCCAAATTTCAACAGCATCAGCAATACAGCCGCAATCTTTCTACAGTTTGTCCAAGGCTATGGAAATAGGTTTTAGTATATTAGCATATTGTCTACTTTTCTCTTTAGTCTGAGTTGATTAGTTTGGTTGTGAAGTTCCATCTTGAAAATTCTATTTTGTGATGATTTTCTTCACAAATTGTCATCAGAATAGGCCAGCTTTTAATAAATAGCTCAAAACAGTCCGCCGCTGAAATCTATTATACATCTTGCTCCTGTTTCCTTCAGCAAAGCTGAAGTGAAGTGACTGTTATGGAAAGATTTTTCAATTTCAACAGCATTTTCTTTTATTTCTGGAATTGTAGTTACATCTTTGGCTAAAAGGTGCATGAAATTAGCACTGCACCCCTCTGCTATAAGTTTCAGTTTCCCTCAATTATCTTTTTCTAGATTTCTTCTCACATTTATTACATTGGCAGTAGGACTGCCGATTCATTGCAGTTAATTCACGTGGTTAACTCAAAAAAATTAATCGTGAGTAAAAAAATTAATCGCGATTAATCGCACTGTTAAACAATAAAATATCAATTGAAATTTAATAAATACTATATTTTGGATATTTTTCTACATTTCATTTATATTGTATTCTGTGTTGTAACTGAAATGAAAGTGTATATTTTGGATTACAAATATTTGCACTGTAAAAATGATAAAGAAATAGTATTTTTAAATTCACCTCAGACAAGTACTGTAGTGCAATCTCTTTGTTGTGAAAGAGCAACAAGAAGTAGGACTGAGTGGACTTGCAGGGTCTAAAATTTTACATTGTTTTATTTTTTAATGCAGTTTTATTTGTACATAATTCTACATTTGTAAGTTCAACTTTCATGATAAAGAAATTGTATTAGGGGCATTGAAAAATACTATTTCTTGTTTTTTTACAGTGCAAATACTTGTGATAAAAATAAATATTAAGTGAGCACTGTATACTTTGTATTCTGTGTTGTGATTGAAATCAATATATTTGAAAATGTAGAAAACATCCAAAACTATTTAAATGGTATTCTATTAATGTTTAACAGTGCGATTAATCACGGTTAATTTTTTTAATTGCTTGACAGCCCTAATTTGCAGCATTACCCCTGACAAAGCTATTATTGTTCATAGTTTACCGCTTTTACTGCTACTACTTTTAAATATTCTGCTGTATGAATGTAATTCTAAGAGCTCCTCAATGTCAACTGGCAGAAGGCCCACTCATATTGTTACCCACACAACTTTGGGGCTCCCACCCCCTTTCCAGGGCCCAATGGCCCTCCACAGGTTAATGGGACCTTGTCCCAGTAAAGGAGCCTTTATCACATAGAAAATATTCTTAAATATGCACATGTATTTTAGTAATTAACAGTCAATCAACAGAATACACACACCAAACATCTAATGCTCACCAATCCCCATAAAACAGACTGATGTCTCCCAATGGCCAGTCACAATTTGATCCCATCCAGGGCTCCAGCTTCCACAGAATCCAGTCATGCAGGGGTTAAAAATCCTACAAGGGCTGGTCTTGAGCTGTATCTCGGAGTTAAGTTCCAAGGAGCGTGTTTCCTGATGCTCATTATATTGTTAAAATGAGAGTTCTTCTTATCAATACCTTATCCAATTATTTTACTCAAAGCATATCTATGCAAAAACACTAACCAATCATTTTCACTATACAGGGGTTCATATGCCGAAGACAGCCTACTCATTAACTTTTGTATTTTTCATGGTTATTAAAATTTCTGAATTTATGCTTTGTTAGTGGAATACATTTGAAACAGCAAAGCCTTATACTTTTTATTATCAGGAAGAAGCTGCAGAAACTCAAGGCTAGCTTTTCCATTCTCATGACTTTGTGAATATATATCTATCCCTGATAGAAAAGTATCCGCTGTAGCATTCCTATCTGCCTGCCTACATCAAGGCCGAATTCTCCTGACTCCGTAGTTTTTTTGTTTTGTTTCCAACTTATGGTGGCTGAACATAGCAGATGGTTGTAGGTTATGCTAAGTCCATAGGCTGAAAGTCATGTCAAGTCCAGGCCTCTTATTACAATATCAGGCTTGACACACTCACTATCCCCCAACTAGGGCCGGCCCTAGGATTTTTGCCGCCCCAAGCAAAATCAATTTTGGCCGCCCCCCCGCCCCCGTTTTTTTCTTACCCTACCCCCGGCCCCGCCTCAACTCTGCCCCTTCCCGAAATCCCCAGCCCTGCCTCCTCCCTCCAGGGTCTCAAGCCTGAGAGGGAGGGAAGGAGGGTGAGCAGCAGCGCGCGAATCAGCTATTTCGCGCGCTGCGGCCGCTCGGGATCTCCCCCTCCCTTCCAGGTTTGAGAGCCTGGGAGGGAGGGCGAGTAGTGGTGCGCGAATCAGCGGCATCAGCGGAAGTGAGCTAGGGCGGCCGGGGCGCATTTTTAGGGG